GACATCCCTACATCTTGAGGGCTATATTGCATTTTCTGAATACCGAGGCGAGTTGCAGCAATGAGAATGGAAAATGGAGCCATTTCATTAACCAAATAACTACAAGGTAGGAACTGTTTTGGAAGACAACAATATTTCCACATTTCCATAATTCAACTGTGACTCAAGTAATGAATATGTGTGTTGAATGTGTGATTTAAGTGATACGAAATGTAGATGTGGCTGCCATTTTGAAGCATGACAAAGAGTAAACTTAGCTTTCCAAAGCTATAGATGGAGTTCCATCGTTCATATCCCTTGGAAGCAGGAGCCCGCATCAATAAAGAAAATCAACACAAAATTGGTTCTTGTTAAACAAGATGCTTTTCTCTGTCCAAATGAGTAATTTCACATTTTAGTTTGCGATTTATGCTAAGTATTACAAATAAAAGTTTTTTAATATGAATTACTTTTTAGGACCGAGGAGTATACTATATCAATTTCAATTTTGAGCATGCTAGTCACCAATTTTAACTAGAGAGTTTACGATTGTTTCTCTCGCTAGCGGCCGGCAATTTGTTTTAAAATTTAAAAATCACAACGCAGTCAAAGATGTGCATGGACTATATATTGAACACCACATATGTATGTAAAAAAAGTAGGTTTTTTTTGAAACCCATACAATATATATTTCAAATAAAATAGGTTTAAAGTGCACCTTCCATGCTTAGTCCCAAAAATGATTGCTTCGTTCGTTCAAGTTGAATAACATGACAATCAAGTTCATCCTCTTCGGAAAAAAAAAAGGGGGCAAACTACATTTTCCCCCTCGAGTTTTGGCCTCCTAATAAAATGCACCCTGAGTTTTGACAATACTACGAAAATCCCCCTGACCTTTGATCCGACTAACCAAACCAGCAATTCCGGCAAGAAAACTGACATCAGATGTTGATGTCATCAACTTTTCTAGATGAACTGACGAAAAAGCCCTGGTTTAAATGGATCATATTATTGTCTTAATCTTTATTAAATAAAAAAATTCTTTCACTTTGATTTTTACAGCAAAAAAAAGAAAAAGAAAAATTAAGAACCCTAAATAATCTCCACTCTCCCTCACGCATCTCATTATTTTTCCCCACATAAAACTTGCTCCCTTTCAGCTCCTGCCACCATTGCGCCACCCACCCCTCCACCACTAACATCAACAACAACAACTCTATTATATCTACCACCACACAATATTTATTGAAAAAAATTATTGTGAAAAAGATAATTATCTGAAAGATTGATTATTTAGTTATTTTAAATTTCAATCAAAATTGAATCAAACTTGGCTTTCTGATCCAAATCAAAGTAGAAGCCATTGAACTTCTTCAATCCTCGTCAGATTCCACACTTTCTTTTCATCTCTTTTGTTGGCCAAGTGAACATCACCGGCTTATACTTGGGAACCCCGGCTCCATTGGCAATATTTTTTTATTTTTTTATTTTACCAAAGTTGGTTAGGGGTTTTCGTTGTGTTATTTGTTTTGCTTTCATCATGTGATTAACTTTAATAGAATTATGGAAGTTTTGAGTGAGTTATTCGTTTAGGACTGATTTTTTTGCACAATTTTCTGGGTTGATAAATTTGAATACAACTTTTACAAACCTCTGTTTTTGGATTATGAACTTTTTTGAAGCCAATTTCAATGTTTTAGATAAAAATAGAATTATTTTGAAACTGGAAAGGAGATTTAATTTTTTTGAGTCGACCAGGTTGGGGTTGGGGTTGCCAGGTGGGAGTCGGAGTCATGGTGGCTGGGTAGAAGCTGGCGTCGGTGTCCGATTTGGTCTTTGGAAGATGATAGGATTTCAGAAAGAAGTCTTTTCCTATTTAATATATTTTCCATGATTATTTTTTTTTTTTGCAAAAGGGTACTCAGGTTATTTCGTCATTTCACAAAATTCGGGCATTGACCTAATACTTTACTAGTGAAAGGGAGAAATGGTAGTATCATCAAAACTCAAGGTTGATTTTGTTAGGAGGTCAAAACTCGAGGGGGAAAATGTAGTTCGCCCCAAAAAAAAAAAAAAAAGAGAAGACAATCAAGTTCATTTTTTCCATTTTGAAATGTCTTTATAAGAATTTGTGAAAACCATGAAAGTAACAAATAAGTTGTTTAAAATACAAAATGGGCAAAAGAAATCCAATTTTCTATACTCACATAATTTTAATATTTTTTTGTTTTATTATAGGGATATATAGTTTAAACTTTTTGTTATGTTAATACTTGCGCACATTGGACAAACATGTAGTTTTAGTGTTAAATGGTTCAAATTTTTTGGTCTAACTTGCAGCCCGGAAAGACTTCTTTTCTTGACAGTTAGGTCCCTAGCCCAGAGTTTAGGAGGAATACTGTACTTATATATAATCGTAAAAAAATTACCGAAATCTTTAATATAAAATCAATTGTTCTACAAAATACTAACTTTAGGCTTAGGACTAATTTAGAAACGTACACTCTACCATATATCTTATGTTTCTTTATTCTCTGATCTCTGACAAATCCTGTGTCATTTTACGAGTTACTTACGGGAGAGGAAATGTAGATGCTGCTTTTCTGAAACCTGCTGGATTATAAGGAGCTTTTCCAAACTTAGAGCCTTAGATACTCTTATTCATTCAAACTGAACCCCAAAAAAAAAAAAATGATCGCCGTTTTGGTTATCATGAACAAATTAGTAACTGAATTTTCACATTTTGAAAAAAAGAAAAAAAGTAACTGAATTTTCCTGTGTGCATGAAGTAAAAGTTAAATTAGAGGAATCTTCATTATGAGTACGAGAACCTAAACTATTGATCAAATGATTGGGGGCGTAAAATATAAACAACGCACTGTTTCTGATAAAAGTTCCTAATCACTTCATCCATTATGCATGTAGGATGATTATCGTCAAAGAAATTATAATCATAAGACTAAAGATTTGGGTGTTGGCCAAATTAAACACACGCTTTACGTGTGTTGTGGGAGGAGCCTATTTTATGTGTGATAAATAAGAATGAAATGCAAGGAAACATATGAATAACAAATAGGACACCAAATATGTGGGAGAAGCTGTTACTTTTTAGTTTTTTCTACTATTGTATTGATTTCTGACATAAATTACCTCTATAAGTTGGACAGGAGTTTTATATCATCCCCTTTTGCGTGCTCGAAATTGTACAGTTATTTTCTACCCCATAAAAAAATACTAGTCTCCTAAATTTATCATGTTTCTTATCATATATTTATAAATTTAATGTAGATTATATTTTTTTGAGACGGAAAGAGCATACTCTCTCCATCCAAAAATATATATATATATAGTCCATATTAAATTTTGAAATTTGTACTTTTAAAACTTAATATGGACTATTTTATAGGTACAAAGACCATATAATATAAACGTTTTTCTTTCTCTATTGGTAGAGAAAAGATAGAGTCTATGAAAGACTTTCATGTCATTCACTTTGTGGAGCGAAAGATGGCGCTTAACGTATTTTTGCCAGAAATGACGTTGTAGTTTGGATATTTATAAAATTTAAATTGTAATAAAAGTAAAAATTCAAATTGAATAATAAATTTTAGAAATAGAAAAATACTTAGAGAAACCTCATCGGATTTGATAATTAAAGTAATCCCCCTTTTCACCACATCAGCATTTGTACCTCACCCATCAATTCAACCATGCTCTCCAATAATTTTACCACCAATTATGAAAAATGGGATTCCAAAACTTTTTAGTGCTTGTTTGGAAATCATCTTACATTTCATTTTGCTATTTAAAAGTGGAAAGTGTTTCAAATTGAAAACTAAATGGGAAATGAAAATGTTGTTTGGATGGTATTTTGAACAAAAAATTGTTTAGATGTTGGTTTTGAAAAAAATATTTTGAACTACATTTTAAAAATATCAAGTACGAGTCATCACTAAACAATTAAATACTGTCAATTATAGTCACTGCAAAAAAGAACTTTTCCAATAATAATCATTCAACAACGAAATCCTGCCAAATTTGTCACTGAATTATTTGTAGTTCTAAAATGGTCATTACATTAACAAAAAGTGTTTCAAGTTGGAATTTAAAATGTAAATCAGAAAATTGTTTGGATGATTTTTTCTTTTCCATTAAGTTTTGTGTTTAAGAGGTAAAATTAGTTAAAATGTAAAATGAGTGTAGTCCAAACAAGACCTAATTATTTTTTTTCTCTTTGAGGAACAATGCCAGTTGGCCCAATTCTAACTTCTAACCCATTTGGCTGCACTACAGCCTTTTCCAAAAAAAAAAAAAGTGAAATAATTTCTAAGACAAATAACTCAACCCCCTGATAACAGGACCCATACTTCCATGCCAATTAACACCGTTACAGTTGCTCAGTTTTCTTTTAAATGGAGTCACAAAAATAGGGAAAGAATATTAAAAAAACTACGAAGCAATTGTCGAGCTGCTTCAGAGGGAGTGGACAGTTCAATTAGTACATGTTTACCGCGAAACAAATTTTGCTGCGGATTTCTTAGCATCTTTTGCGCCATCAGGCCCGTCAGGTTTAACAAACTTGGATCGGCGTCCAATTGGAGCTCACTTTTGCCAATAACTCGATGTAATTGGGGTAAAATATCCTCGTAATATTATACTCCTAAACTAGTTAAGGCATCAGCCTCCCTTTGGACAAAAAAAAAAATACTCCCTCTGTCTCATAATTATTGTCCAGTTTGAATTTTTATTTTAGTTCAAATTGTACTAAAGTTATATCTCAAACTGACAATACTTTTGAGACAGAGATAGTAATACATGCATACAAAACCCCGCGCCCGCCATTGCCCATATATACTTAATTTAAGACCCATTTTAAAATTTTGTAATTGACACACGTCGTTAACATGGTGGAGGAATAAGTAAAAGAAAGCGCCAAAATACCTCCTCGCCCTCTGCTCCGCCTCCCGCCTCCTCCGCCTCCTTCCTCCGTGGCATGGATACTTCCGATTAGAGAAATTAAAATGGATGTCTCTGCTGTCACGGGGTCAAACGTTTCCGAAATCGAAGCCCCTTTTCTGGTCGAAGACACGGTTGAAGGTCACGTTGACTACAGAGGCCGATCCGTCAAACGGTCCAAATCCGGTGGTTGGAAATCCGCATCTTTCATCATAGGTATGGCTAACACCATGAATTCTTCTTGCTATTGGAAGAGAAAGAAGGATGGATGAATCAATTGTGTGAAATTTGAATCAAATTTAACTACTAATCATTCATTTCCTCTTACTAACAGGGGTGGAGATATCGGAGAGGTTTGCTTATTATGGAATAAGTTCGAATTTGATAAATTACTTGACGGGCCCGGTTGGCCAATCCACCGCCGCAGCGGCGGCCAACGTCAGTGCTTGGTTCGGTGCGACGTCGCTTTTTCCTCTGTTGGGTGCTTTTCTGCCCGACTCTTTCCTCGGCCGTTACCGCACCATCATCGTAGGTTCCTCGGTTTATATCCTGGTCAGCCTAATAATTTCAACTTAAATTACATGTTTCTTCTTCTACTTGCCGATCAATAAACAATAGCCAAAAAACTGTAATTGTAGAATAGTAGGGTATTACTTGAGCATATCTGACCAGATTGTGAATATTTATGGTGATTTGTTTCTGTGACCGATTTTGTGTACATTGGTGATTTCACTGACAATCCTCTGAGTAGCATTTCCTATTTAGATGCCCTCGTTAAAATTCCTCATCCTATATCTTTAATTATTGGTGATAGCATCATATGACTGAACTGTGAAGAATACTATTGTAGTTTCAATCCAAACTGGACTTTCTTTTCTTTTTCTTTTTTTTTTTTTTCCTTTTTACAATGCAAGGAACATGATGCTTTCTTTTCGCCTCTTCCCCCTTTTTCCCTTTTTTTGTGGGATTGATGGATATTAGGTAGCAGTATATAAATTTTATTAATAAAACCTTTAGGCGCTTGTTTCCGTACAGTGACAGGTAGAGAATGATGTCAAAAATTGTGGTGGAAATGGTTATTGCCACTTACATTCGTTTCAATTGTCTGTAGTTGTGGTTACAAGGATTAGAATTGTAACTTTGCTTTGGAAGCTAAGTTGGGCTGTAAACTAATTCTAGATAGGAGTTGATTAGCTATGAGGTGAACTGACAATAAATAATATGGAGTTAGAGTGCAGTGTTTTTGTTCTCTTCTTAAGTGTCTAACCTGAAATAAGTATCTCCTGTTATGTTATACTACTCCTCAGATATATGCTTTGGTCAGTTGCTGAATTCTATCAATGGGGAGAGTGTCTACGTTATTCATATGGCTGTTTTACGACAGCTTTGGGTCCTTTCTATTACCTATGAGGTGAACTGACTATAAATAAATGAAGTTAGAGTGCAGTGTTTTGTACTCGTCTTAAGTGTCTAAACTGAAATAAGTATCTCCAGTTATAATATACTACTTCCCAGATTTATGCTTTGGTCAGTTGCTGATATAATAAGGTCTACGTTATTTATATAGCTGTTTTACATCAGCTTTGGTTCCTCTCTCTGTTAAGCTAATCCCATATCTAGATATATGTAAACCTGTTCGAACAGCTAGACACCTTAAGCCGGGGGACAAGATTATTGATGAACTTTCTGAGAGACGTGACTCTTGTATTTTTTTTGGTTTTGTGGTTAGTACTTATATTTTACTCCCTCTGGTCCTAATTATAAGACACATGTTAACACGAAAGTTAGTTCAAATTTGTGTCTTATAATTAGGACCAGAGAGATAATATATATCCACTCATTTGAAAGATGTCTAAAGTTTGCTCCTCGGAGAAAGATGTTAGGGATTTTAGCATGTGCTCATAGTTTTTCTCCAGATAATTAAACCGTTTTTCATTTTCGTTGATAGCACCCTGTTCACTCTTTGATTTCTTTCTCTCACAGGGACTTGGCATCTTAACCATTTCAGCTTTCCTTCTCTCTTTCAACCCTTCTGACTATCAGAATGCAGGAAATAACATTGCTTGTTCTCCTCCTGAGGTCCAGATTGTCTTTTTCTGTTTTGCATTGTATTTGGTTGCTTTGGCTCAAGGAGGACATAAGCCTTGTGTTCAAGCTTTTGGAGCTGACCAATTTGATGTACAAGATCCAGCAGAGCGGAAAGCAAAAAGCTCATTCTTCAACTGGTGGTACTCTGGTATGTGTGGTGGTACCATGATAGCATTGTTGGTTCTCAACTATATTCAAGATAACCTTAGTTGGGGTCTAGGATTTGGGATAACCTGTGTCTTCATGGGTTTTTCACTAATATTGTTCTTGTTGGGAACAACGACCTACCGATTTTGCATCAGCAGTGATGAGATGAGCCCCTTTGTTAGAATTGGTTGGGTTTTTGTAAAAGCAGGAAAAAATTGGAGGACGACCTCTTCAGCAATTTCTGTTGAAGAGGAGTCTCGAGGAATTTCGCCTTGGCAGGGTTCTCAACAATTCAAGTGAGTTCTTACTTTATTCCCTTGTGAGATATGAAATGCTCACGTCATCTTTTCTTTCCCTTTCTTCTTGATAAACTTCTGTCATTTTTCCAATCTTTCTTTTCCTGCCACTAAAATCATCTCCATAGCATGTTGGTCTTTGTAATTGAAAGATTGCAATATAATTTTCCAATGTGGCATTTGGTCCCACTAATTGAATTGAGAAGTTTGTTTTTGATAATTAATTTTCATTTTAGATCGGAGTGTTTACAAATGAAAATGTGATGCATTGGAACACCATTCAACACTGTCTTTCATCTATTTTTCTTTTCCTTTTTCCTTTTTTCCGTAGCCTTTGGTGCAAGATTGGCCTTTATTATCAGAGGCTGTTATTGAACTGATTTTACTCTTTGCATTTATTAGGTTTCTCAATAAGGCATTGCTAACACCTGATGGTTCAAAGGAACATGGGAAGGTTTGTAGCATCAATGAAGTGGAAGAGGCAAAGGCAGTTCTCCGGCTGTTTCCAATATGGGCCACATGTTTGGTTTATGCAATTGTATTTTCCCAGCCAATGACCTTTTTCACTTAGCAAGGAGTGACGATGGACAGGTCTGTCGTTCCAGGCTTTGAAGTTCCTGCTGCTTCTCTGCAGTCTTTTATTAACTTGTCCATAGTTGTATTTATACCTATCTATGACCGAGGTTTGGTTCCTATAATGAGATCTGTTACCAGAAAATCTTCAGGGTTGACAACTCTGCAACGTATTGGAACTGGAATAGCCCTATCATGTCTTACCATGGTTACAGCTGCTGTAGTTGAGATGAAGCGCCTTGAAACAGCTAAAGCTTATGGATTGATTGATAAGCCAAAGGCAACAATTCCAATGAGTGTCGCGTGGTTGATACCTCAGTATGTATTGTTCGGGGTTTCAGAATCGTTGACAATGGTTGGTTTGCAGGAATTCTTCTACGATCAAGCGCCTAATGAACTAAAAAGTATTGGTCTTTCACTATACCTCAGCATTTTTGGAGTAGGAAGCTTTCTAAGCAGCTTTCTTGTTTCCACCATTGAGAAAGTCACAGGCAGAGATGGGCGCGACAGCTGGTTCGCCAACAATCTGAACAAGGCTCACCTTGATTATTTTTACTGGATGCTTAGTGCTCTCAGTGGCGTGTCACTCGTTGTCTATATATACATTGCTAAGTCTTATATCTATAATCGAAGGAATGATATGTAAAATGAGAATCTTCTGTGCTGATAAGGGCTCTCACTGTGGCAGCAGTTCTGCAGAAAAGGAACTTCTTCCACATTCGAGATTTCGTGTTCTATTCCACACTATTCTTAGCTCCTTAATCGATCGAAATAGTTACATCAAGTTGGTAACTTAAAGACGTCAGGACAGGCGCTGCACGGGTCTTCCCCGGCATAAAGACTCCTCGTAAGGGTATCACAGCAGCTTGGTAGCGCGTTTGTTTTGGGTACAAAAATACTTACATTGGAACGAAACGTGAAAATGGTTGAACAGGGCCCTTAAATTCATCAATTGGCTTAATTTGGACTAATTCAATCCATACCGAGATTCGGCCAATTTGTTAAAAATGTTCAAATGGTCAGCAATATGAACATTTAATAGTAACTAAAACATTTGATCGTGACACGAGCTAGTGTTAATGTGTTCCCACCGAAAAATAAATAATGCTTATAGATGCATTAATCAAATATATAAAGAAAAAATGGAAGGTGTGCAGCATTTCCAGCTCTGAAGTCAACTGGGGAAGCATTTCAGCCATGGCATCCTCTGCAATTATTCCTGCTAAGATGAAGGCCTGGTCCTACAACCAGCACGGGAAGGCCGAAGATGTCCTCAAGTTCGAATCCGAGGTCGAAGTTCCCAACGTTAAAGATGACCAAGTTTTAATCCATGTTCAAGCAGCTGCCCTGAATCCAATTGATACCCTTCGGATGCAGGGCATCTTCAAGGACACCGATTCGGCTCTACCGATCATTCCGGGATACGACGTGGCCGGCGTGGTCGTCAAAGTCGGTAGCTCCGTGAGGAAATTCAAGGTTGGGGATGAAGTTTATGGAGACATAAACGAAATCGCGTCAATCCAACCAACCCGATTTGGGTCTTTGGCTGAGTTTACCGGTGTGGATGAGAAAGTGCTAGCTTTGAAACCCAGAAATTTGAGCTTTGTTGAAGCAGCTAGTCTCCCTCTCGCCGTAGAGACAGCGTACCAGGGCCTTGAATCCATCGGCTTTTCCGCCGGCAGGTCACTTCTTGTTCTGGGAGGCGCCGACGGTGTTGGAACTCTTGTCATTCAGGTGGCAAAGATCATATTTGGTGCATCCAAAGTGGTGGCCACTTGTAGCTCTGGCAAAGCAGAGTTACTCAAGAGATTAGGTGCTGATGCCACAATTGACTATCATAACGAGAATTTGGTCCAATATCCGGAGAAATTCGATGCCGTTTTCGTGGCAGCCGGAGCATCTGGGGAGGCTGAGAAGCTTATTAAAGAAGATGGAAAAGTGGTGTCCATCATTGGGCCGGATCGGTTCCGCATGACATCAACCGGGATCATCCTCAAGAAATTGAGTTCTTACTTTGAAGAGGGAAAGCTGAAGCCGATCCTGGATCCTAAAAGCCCGTTTCCATTCTCTCAGGCTGTTGAAGCATTTACCTATCTGGCATCTCGCAGGGCTACCGGAAAAATTGTTGTGTATGTGTTTTCAATAAGATAATGTCATGATAATAGCTTATTGGGACATCAATATTAAAGTGTCACAACAAGGGTGTCACTATAGATACTTTTTCTTGTAGTGTTTTACTAGATGTTAAACCTATACGATGTGCAGGTTTTATTTATATACATTGCATAAACGTTACTCCCTCCATCCCATACTTGTTTGAGTTTTCGTAGTTCAAATTGTACTAAAAGTGATATCTCAAACTGGACAATAATTTTGGTACAGATGAAGTATTAAAGATGTAGAAGGTATGTAATATCTATTAAATTCATATTACTATATTATTATATGATTAAAATTAAATAAAGGCGAAAAATTGAGGATTGGCAAAATATCTTAAGGGTCAATATATTTTTCTCTCTCCTCACTACGGGCGAAAAAACGGTTGCTGTGTGAGAAATCTTTGATCTCCGGCACGTTTCAGCGTGCTTGCGATGGCAGCGAAACCGAAGAATAAGGGAAAGGTAGTGGATCTCGAGACGAAATCACAACCACAGGAAGAACGAAAAACAGTGATGGGCGAAGGGTATTAGCAGGCAAGAAAAGCGAGTCGATGAATAAGGTGAGTAATCAGATCTCTTCTCCTTCTATGATTAAGGCTACTATCTTACTTGAAAAGATGTGTGATAAAAAAAGTAGTACAAGTGGGGGAATCATCGGGAAGTAAAGGTATGACGGAATTGGGATCTGATAAGGAAAAATTAGGGTTACAGGAGAAACAAATTTGGGGGAATTTAGACCCTAAGAAACAGTTGAATGTTGATAGGAAATTGGAATTCATAGCGCCTAATGCAATAAATGATCGGAATATAGCTAAGATTCACAAAGAGGAAATTCAAGATGTTGTAGACTATTGGAAATCCTCAACGCTTTGTTACATTCTGGGCGCTAATCCACCATTTTATGTGGTGAATGGGTACTTAAGAAGAATCTGGGGAAAGTTTGGAGTAGATAGTATTTTGCTGTTGAACAATGGCATCTATATTGTCCAGTTTAACTCAATCACTGCTAAGGAGGAGGTACTAAAAGAGAGTGTTTACCACTTTGATAGTCGACCTGTGATTGTTGGGGATTGGTCGGCTGAATAGGGATTCAGAGTTGAAGATGTGAAGAAAGTGCCGGTCTGGATCCAACTTCCAAGACTACAATTGAGATATTGGAATGCTGTTACTCTAAGTTGCCTGACAAGCACTATAGGCAAACCATTGGAAATGGATGAGATGACCACACTTAGGAATTGAGCTGGTTTTGCTAGAGTGTTAGTCGAGATGAACATTGCAGAACAATTGCCAAGTGAGATACTATTTGAAGATGAAAGTGGTATAGTGCAAGAGCAGTAGATCAGATATGAATGGAAGCTGGTCCAGTGTGGCAAGTGTAAGGGTTTTGGCCATGAATTTGGCCAATGCAAGAAAGAAGACATTGTAGCTGGTAAACACAAAGGGAAAGTAACTCAAAAAGAGGAGAAAGCACCAAGGATGGAACATGATAAGACTTTAGCAAAGCCAGAAGGTTCTCAAAACAAAGAAGCAGGGCAAAAAAGTAATGTGGAAGCAACAGAAAGACAAACCAAGAAACCAGAAGGGAATGGAAGAATTGGAGGGAAAGCTCATATAGTGGAACCTCAAAGAGCAACACGGATTAATACAGGCCAGGGACAAGGAAAAACGGGAAAGAAACAGGGAGGTGAAGGGGAGAGTAGCAACTACAATGGCACTAGCGACCCTGATACGGGGCTTAGTAACCATGAGTAGTCTGCTATTTTGGAATGTAAGGGGGCTTAACAGCCCCTTGAAACATAAAGAGATCGGCCAAAGTCTCTTTATGAATAAAGTTGGTTTAGCTTGATTACAAGAAACAAAGCTAGATGGCAATAAAGTAAGGGAGTTAATGGAAGAAAAATGGATAGGGTATGACTATATTAGTAACCATGGGATGACTGGTAAAGGAAGAATCCTACTAATATGGAAGAAAGAGATGTATCAATTGACAAGTGTTCAAGTGAAGAAGTAATATATTCATAGTAAAGTGAAAGAAGTTGGCAGTGGCAAGCTTTTTGACCTCCCTGTAGTCTATGGTGACCATTAGGCTCAGGGAAGAACAGAACTATAGGAAGACCTATTAGCCAAAGCAGGGAATATCACTAGACCCTAGCTGATGATAGGTGACTTCAACAGCATACTACAAGCAGAGGATAAATTGGGAGGCTCTGGAACTGCGAGTAATGAGACAGATGCGTTTAAAATGGTGGTGGAAACCTGCGAGCTTATGGAGATGAAAACAATAGGGGGGGGGGCTTATACCTGGAGTAACAAGCAGATGGGGGGAGCACAGAATTTGGTCAAAATTAGATAGAGCCCTCATCAATGAACACTGGTTAGAGGCATATGAGGAAGCATATACAACAGTTATGAATCAAGGGCTATCAGACCACAAACCACTGCTGATTAAGTGTAATACTGAGCAGCAAATAGACCAAATACCTTCAAGTTCTTGAATTTATTGTTGCAGTTAAAGAATTATAAGGAGACAGTAACGAAAGCCTGGAAGCAAGACTGTGAAGGCACCAAGTAGTACATCTTATGGTGGAAGAAGAAACAATTGGAGTATCAGCTAAGAAAACTCAACAGGGAACAATGTGGGAACTTAGAAGAGCAGGTGCAACAGAGAAAGAATGATATAGATGCCATACAATATCAGTTGCAACAAGATCCACAGAATGAAGAGGTCCACAGGAGAGAAAAATAGGCTATCCAGGAGGACATTGGAGCTAGAAAGGCTTTAAATAGCTACTGGAAACAAAAGCCTAAGTCCAAATGGATCCAAGAAGGCGACATCAATTCTAAGTTCTTCCATGCTAGCTTGAAGAAGCAAAGGACTCTTAACAGAATAATGTCTTATAGGCGACAGGATGGGGAGATTATAGAGGATTACGACCAGGTGAAGCATCACTTTGTGGAATACTATCAATCATTACTTGGAGTTGCGTCTGACAGAATCTCAGCTGATAGTAACGTGTTTCCATCAGGGATTGAACTGACTGTAGACCAGTAGATTCTCCTGATTGAAAGCGTTACTAAAGCTGAGGTAAAGCAGGCAATGTTCGGTATCGACATTCAGAAGGCACCTGGCCCAGATGGATACAACAATGGGTCTTATCGAGGAACTTGGGAGGTGGTTGGAGAGGACCTCTGCAACGCTGTCTTGGAATTCTTTACAACAGGTAACCTTCTAAAGTAGTTTAATGCAACTAGTATTACTTTAATTCCGAAAACAACATGCCCTATTGATGCCACTGAATATAGGCCGATAGATTGAGTATTGTGTTACCTGATATAGTAGGATTGAATCAGGGGGCTTTTATAAAGAATAGGTCTATTTTGCACAATGTATTACTTACAAAGGAGTTAATAAGGCTGAATAGAAGGAAAAATAGCAAACCTAGTTGCCTGATGAAAGTTGATCTGCGTAAAGCATATGATTCGATCCATTTGAGGTTTATAGAGGAAATGCTTTCACAGTTTGGGTTCCCGCCAAAGTTCAATAGCTAGGTGATGGAATGTATTACCACAAGCAACTATTCCTTAAGTATGAATGGCGAAAGTGTAGGCTTCTTTAGGGGACAAAAGAGTTTAAGGCAAGGGGATCCAATGTCGCTCGTTTTGTTCGTCTTGGTAATGGAATACCTAAAGAGAATGTTTAGAGGAGTAGCGAAAAATGAGGACTTCAAATACCATCCCTTTTGTGAGAAGCTAGGTATAGTCAACTTAAGTTTCGCTGATGACCTCATTATACTTTGCCAAGCTAATATAACTACTACAAGCATGATTAAGAGAGTGTTGGGTGCATTTGCGGCTACCACAGGATTAACTATAAATGTGCAGAAATCAGAAATATACTTTGGCAATGTTAAACAGGAGGTACAGGAGGAAATACAAGGGATCATGGAATTTGGGAAAGGTACATTTCCTGTTAGGTAGTTGGGGGTGCCTATTTCACCAGTGGCATGGACTGAGCTGGACTGTCAATCCATGGTACACAATATTGTGAAGAAGGTTAAATGTTAATCCACCTAACATTTATCATATGCTGGAAGGTTAGTATTGGTGAATTCAATGCTGCTTAGCATGCATTCATACTGGGCTAGGATTTTTATGCTTCCAAAGAAGGTGATCAGGCAGATTGAAAGAACATGCAGAGAATTCCTGTGGGGCAAGAAGGAATCTGGAAGATGTTGGTCACTGGTAGCCTGGGAGGAGGTTTGCAAAGAAAAATCTGATGGCAGCCTTCACATAAGGAATCCTGAGGTATGGAACAAGTCATTGATAGGGAAGCAAATTTGGGCTCTGGCTCTAAACAAGGGAAGTCTGTGGATAAAATGGATCCACATGTATTACCTTAAGAAGCAATCAATATGGGAATACCAAATCCCTAATGATAGCAGCTAGCACATGAAACGACTGTTGCAGATCAAAGATCAATTGAAGGATGGTATGCAGTAGGGAATGTGGCAAGGTAGTAATGGGAAGCCCTATAATGCTAAGAATGGATATAAATGACTAATGGGTCCACAGATTAGATTCAGAGGGGTTGATGTGGTTTGGAGCCCATATGTAATCCCAAAACATGGATTCATATGTTGGCTGGCCATGAAGGATAAACTAATAACTCAGAAACATTTGCATAGGATGAACAAGCTTTAAGGATTCATCCAATGTGAGCTGTGTGGAGCTAGCACTGAGGACATCAACCATCTATTTTTTGACTGCCCATATGCTAAATTACTTATGACAACATTGCTGCAGTGGCTAAGAATCAATGTACCTATCAGGAACATCAGGAACTGGACAAGCAGATTGCTGAAGGTTTGGAGGCATAAAAAGGTCAGGCAAAGAATTCTTTTTAGCACAGTTTGTGCTGCTGTATACAACATCTGGTAGGAACGTAATGCCAGGAAGTTTGGAGGGACAAAGTTGCAGGTACAGCACAGAGTG